CACCGCACGAACCTGTTTTCTGCCAGCACCCAAGCAGAGTCAACCTCAAAGATGGCCAGAAGTCGATGCTGCTGGTAATAAGAGGCCACCATGAGCACGTCCGTCTCCTGGCCAGAGTGTCACTTTGACAGATGTCAGACTTAGCACTGCTAGAGATAGTCCCAATTACGGACTTGGAAAGCTGCTGTCATTTCTGATCGTAGCCTCTCCCAGCCAAAAAACACACGGTGCTCAGGGACGTGCCAACGGCGGAGAAAGCGGGGGCCCCTCCCTGCTCTTCACAAACACCAATGTCCCAGTCCCCGGCAGGAGCAAAGACTGTGGACCCAACACACCAGTCCTTGAGGGCCCATGTGGTTCTAAATAAAAACTCTCACCAGAGTTATTGCATCATGATCCCTGTTCATATTGTTGAATTTTAATCCATCTGTAATCTCTGCTGCCTTCATCGAAACTAACGGCCCCCAAAGACACTTTATCAAATGCTTGATTCCAGTCAGGATCCGGGTGATTAAGTCCTAGAGAAAGTGCCTGACATCCAGTCCAGGAAGTTAATTACTAACATAATTATCAAAACCTTTTATTTCTCAGGGTTAAGTCAAGCATCTCTGTGGGCAGGGTATTTTCTGGTTGGTTTGTTTGTCAGTTGATGTGTAATTAGCTCTTATGGACAATGCATTTTTTGACTTTCCAAAGGCAAACACAAATATCTAAATAACTATTCTATCTTTGCATTATTTCCTCAATCCCTAAAACTCACCCAGAGGACTTAGAAAGAAACAAAGTTATAAGCCGATTCGACACATTCCCCCAAAACCCCCTACACTCAAAAGCATTTGTAAATGGCTTTTCCTACAGCAAATATGACCAATATCAAGTTGCTTTTCTTCCAATAAAATGCTATGCCCATAATATGTTACTATTTCCTCTTAGTGCTTTTGATGGACTATTTCTTTTCAAAGCCATCACGCCTTCAGCCTTGACAGGGCAGGGCAGCTAACAGGCAAAGACAGAAGCATTAAGCAGCAGGTCCTCAGACCTTTAGCTGTGCCAACCATGCAGCCACATGTCTGAAGACAGAATTGTAAACCCAGAAATACTGGGTTATTGGAAAAATCATGACGCATTTTTGCATAGAAAAAAATATGTTGTGACTTTTCTGACAACCCAATATATGTAAAATTTGGATGCAATAAAAGGGGGCATTATCGACTAAAAGTTAGTTTTTAAGAAAATGAGTTTCAGGGCCAGCAGGCGTAATGGTTAAGGCACCAGACTCCCACATGGTTTGAGTCCCTGACCCAGCAGCTTGAAAATAATGCTGAGGGAACCAGTAGATGGCATAGTGGTTATGTTGCTGGACTCCCACATGGCTGACAGCAGTTTGGGTCCCAGACTCGGTGGCTTGAAACTCATGCCAGGTGTCTGTGCCCATGTGTGCCCAAGATTCCAGGAGAAGAATGAAGCAGAAGGGACTGCAGTGAGGCCATCCTCTCTCAGCGGTGACTTCTCACTTTCCCTCTCACTTTCTCTCTCTGGAAAGTACAAGAACTTTCTGGCAAAAATTTAAAAAAATAAATAAATAAGAATATATGTTCCCATCAGAATTCAAATCTGTGGTGAGCTAATGACCATGAGATGAAAATTTTCCATAGGTCTCCAGTTTTGCATGCATAGCCTAAAGGATGATAACCTTCAGACACATCTAACATGGATGTCTAGACTTCTGAGCCATGTGAATAGCACATGAAACATAACACGTAACCCGACCTTCAGCAATTTGAGAATTTCCCTTTACCTCTGTAACTTGTTTATTAGCATATCATAGAAAGAGAATTTGAATATACCAGTTTGGGATCTTACCTTACTCACTAACTACAGTGTAAAGAATGAATAGTCAAGCCTCCAGCCTGGCTGGAATTAGATTCTCATCAATTTTACCCACCGCCAAATCCTTGCATCTTTGATGGGGACTAATTAAGCTCATGGTGTTTTTTTTATTCCCCAGACTGTCTTTTGCAGCTCTGGAACAGAGCACACCAAATTAGGCCCATCTGTCTAAATGGAAAGAAGGTTATTTATCCTTTCCTACCTAGAAACTACCTTCCAAATTTTCCAGACAGCATGGGTGATTATGGTAACTCAACTCTTCGCCAGCTAGAATTCTGAGAAGAGCAGTGGGTGTTATGTCAATGACCAACTATTAATTCGCCGTAGTTGAGGGATGCTTTCTCCCAACTCTGCGAGCCAATCAAAATAAATAAAATTCACCAATCAAAATAAATAAAAAATGCGCCACTCAAAATAAATAAAAATCAAAATAAAAAATGATTTGGTACAATATCTAAAGGGTTGCTTTGTGCTAATCTTGACAAAATGAAAGTACTTTTTCATTAACTATGCCTTAAGCAGAGAGTTTAATAAATTTTAATGGACCACAGGAGTCTTTGAACACTTTCTTTTTTTTTTTTTCTTTTTTTTTTTTTTTGAGAGATTTTCACTGTAGGGCGCGTGCGCTCGCCAGACAGACAGAGAGAGACATAGAGACAGAAAGCGAGAAATCACCCCCCAGGGGGGATGGTCACGCCGCAATCCCCTCTCCTCCATTCTCCTCTTGGGATCTTGGGCATGCACGCACACGCGCCCGGCGTGAGTTTTAAGCCACCAGGTCTGGGACACGAACCGTGGTCGACTACGTGGGAATCCAGCGACATAGCCATTACGCTAACTGCTGGTTCCCTTTGAACACTTTCTTAAAAAAGAAAATAATTCTGCCTCTCACACATGCTAGGGAATGAAGTTATAGGAAACAAACCCTTGACAACCAGGTGTCCACTGGGCCGAGATGCCAGTTTCTGAGGACACGGCTTTGCGTCCCCACCTGAATACACTCAGCCTGACTCAGCTCCCCAATCCTTCATCTCTGTCAGCTACTGGACTGGAGAACAACAGGAAGAGAATCAACTGACACCCGTTACATAATGGTCTGTGGCCCAAGGCTCATATTTAGGAATTCTGTCTTAATGGGCAATCACTGGATGTCCCCAAAAGACCACATGTAAAGGCGTTAAGTGAAAACATAATCCCTTTATGGTGTCCCAGAGGGGGGCTTTTGGCTGCGATAGTTGTTAGGAGAGGGCCCCATGGTAGAGTTCTGGCGTGTAAACGAGAAGACATGAGGCAGGCAGAGGTCACACAGACACAGACCGGGGTCCTGCCTTCTGCTACTTCGTAATGCCTTCACCGGAAGTGTGAGGCAAAATAAGCGCTTTCTTTATAATTCACCCATCCCCTGGGTATTTCCATTAGCAATGCAGTAACAGACTAAGATAACTGTATTTGGCAGTTATGAGATAGCGTTACTCCTGATCCAAGGGATCTTTAGGTAGGTTGAGTCCAGAAAAGAAATAAAAGCTTATTAACATGCTATAGCCTAGTGGAAATAGATCATGTTCACTATAGAATATACCACGGTGCACCCCACTACTTGTTAGGTCCCTTATATAACAGGAATTAATTAATATAACACGAAAGGATTCATGAAAACTCTTTGGGGCCAGCCCTGTAGCTCAGCAGTTAAGGGACCCAGATTCTGCATGGCACATCTCAGTTTAAATCCCAGCCCCAGCGGCTTTGAGAACATGCCAGGCACACGTGCCTGCGTGCCCAAAATCCCAATGAGAAGGAAGAATGAAGGACAAGGGACCACAGTGTGACCAGTCCCATTTGGTAGTTCTCTCGCTAGCAAACACATCTTTTGGCAATTAAGAAAAAAATTACTTGTCCTTAATTAGTTTTAAATTACTTACTCATTTTTTTTTATTCCTACACTAAGTAGTTACATACAGAAAAAGGTTTAAAGTATATATAAGAATTCAACTCAGGATCAGCAGTTAGCGCAATGGCTATGTCGCTGGACTCCCATGTAGTCAACCACAGTTCGAGTCCTGGACCCAGTGGCTTAAACTCACGCCGGGCGCATGTGCGTGCATGCCCAAGATCCCGAGAGGAGAATGGAGGAGAAGGGATTGCGGCGTGGTCATCCCCCCTGGGGGGTGATTTCTTGCTTTCTGTCTCTCTGTTTCTCTCTGTCTTTCTGGTGAGTGCAGGCACCCTATAGCAAAAACCTCTCCACAAAAAAAGAGAAAAACAAAACAAAACAAAATAATTCAACTGAATCAGCAGTTTTCAAATTTTTTTTAAATTATTTTATTCAAGTTTTTATTTATTATTATTATTTTTTTAATTTGACCAGAGAGAGACAGAGAAAGTGAGAAAGCAAGCTGCCAGATCCAGGACTCGAACCACAGTCATCCATGTGGGAGTCTGGTGCCCTTAACCACCTCACCACCTGCTGGGTCCTCAGAATTTTTTAAGGGTAGAAGGACTCTTATTCCAAGCAGATTCAGGTAGTCTCCAGGATATGAATATGGTTCAAAAGGAGTGGGTCTAGATATGAACATGGAAAGGGTTAAGGATGGAGAAATGGACAAAGGACTGCAGCGTGACCACACCCCCTGGGGGTGCTTTCTCCCTCACCCTCTCTCTCCATATCTCTCTGGCAATTATAAAAACAAAACCAAAAATCTTTAGTCTTTTAATGAATGCAATGATGTGACCACAGTTCCCAGCCAGTCTGATACCTGCAGAACTGGGTCAGTCCTCTACAGATCTGAGCTATTTTCTCTTATTTATTTAATTTTTTTTTTTCATTTCCTGTAAGGCACATATGTTCACCAGAGAGAGGCAGAGAGAGAGAAATTGAGAAAGCAAACCACCAGGTCCAGGCCTAGAACCATAATCAGCCACGTGGGAGTCCAGAGCCTTAACCACCATGCCACCTGCTGGCCTGACGGATCTGAACTTTTGACCCCACGCAAGCACAGCCATCTGCAGACTGTAGGCACACGAGGCGTGTCAAACCAAGGGGGTGATGAGGACCGGAAGCACGAACAGGAGCGGCCCAGCTCAGTGGGGCACTTCCCCACACCGCCACTCACCACATCCAGGTCCAGGTCCTGGGAGACCCGCCGCTTCCGCAGCTCCTCCATCCGCTCGCACACGTCGGAGAAGCAGGTGTTGTAGTAATCCGCATACTGCTGCGCCAGGTCGTCGATGTTTCCCAGCGAACCGTCCTGAGGGTGGCAAGGAAGAACAGGTCAGGTCAGGCCAGGTCAGTCCGCCTTCGAAAAGCCCACGCTCACTGATCCCTCAGGGCAGCGGTTAAATTGAGTAATAATGGCCAATATTTGTCGTTCGAGTTAAGTGAACGTGGAGATGGCGGGGCCAGCAGGAAGCTTGGTGATTAGAGCGCTGGACTTCCACATGGCCAGTGGCGGTTTGACTGGCTTAAGTTCTCATTTTCCCTCTCTCTCTCTCTGAGTGGCTTAAGTTCTCACTTTCCCTCTCTCTCTCTCTGTCTTTCTCAGGTGAGCACACATGCCCTGTAGCAAATTCAAAAAATAATAAATACATGAAATAAATCATTTTTTAAAAAATGGAGATTGGGCCCAAAGAATCCCTGAGCAGGCAAAACAATGAAGCCTGATAATGGCCTAAAGCTTTCTTCGTTTTCAAACATAAGCAAAATTCAGCTTGAGCTATTTCTTGGTCCAGGTTGCGGCACAGACAGGGGCAAACCGAACTGTAGTGCTGGGAGCCACACGGCCGACCGTGGGCTTGGGTCCCTGGGCTGGCCTGAGAACATGCTGGGCCCCTGCATTTGTGCACAAGATCCTTGTCAAGCTAGAGGGCTGGAAACGGGGATCACAGCACAAGGAGACCCTGTTGAGGTGCGTCTCTCTCTTGCCCACCCCATCTCACGCATGCACACGTGCTCTCTACCATAAATCAAACAAATAAAGCTTCAAAATAAATAAGTATTCATCAGCTATTTCTTGCAAATGCCTGTATGAGAAGACTTCAAAAATTTTATGAGGAAAAAAAAAAAACGGAATTAAAGGACAAGCTTATTTAGGTGCAACACCTTTTGACATCTATACTTATTTCATAAAACACGATTTCCAGGAACTTCTGGAAGACCCCTCCCATTAAAGAAAAACAGACCACAGCAACCGATCAGTAGTAGCCAATAGACTAGAATTATTTAACTGGGAGAGCCAGCAGGTGGCGAGGTGGTTAACTGCACTGGACTCCTACATGGCCGACAACAGTTCAAGTCCCACACGTGGCAGCTTGCTTTCTCACCTCTCTCTCTCTCCTCTCTCTCACTCGCTCATTCATCATTTACTCTGTTCCTCTCCGGTCAAATTAAAATAAATACATAAATAAATACAGTTAAATACAGTAATTCTTTAAAAAAAATGAAAAAGAATGATTTATCTGGGGACTTTGCCAAAGCACAGACCACATTAGGTAAGTGTGTAACTGCAACCAAGGAAATACTTTCTTTGCTTCACTCCCGGGTTGATCTGATGAAAGCCGCCAACACGTATTCCATCAGAGGAACTCCTAAACCACTTCCAGCTTAGAGCTGCCTGATTCACGAATTGCTGTTTGCTCAAAATTCTATTGAGCCTCAGTTTACCGTCTGACATTATTAACTAGGGTCAGACAACAGCGCAGCACTGCAACACAAAACTCTTTGAGGCAATTGCATATGGAAAAAGCTCCTGGTTCGAATACAGAGACCTCGGGTGGCCACACACTTGCTCTCGATCCAGGGCTGGCTCAATGCTGGGATTGGATCACTCGCTCACTCATGGAAGGAATAAGCAGAGAAGCTTTAAAAAGCAAAGTGAAGCGTTATTATGTGGGTGAACGTGTGACAGGCTACGCTTTTGCCTGTGACATCCCCTGCTCCTCAGGACAGCCCTCGAGACAGGATCTGGCTTTTTCCACACCGTAGAGCCCAGCAATTAGTAGCTCAAACAAGCTGAGCAGCTGCCTACAAATCCCGGGACTAACAAGCAAAGAAGCCAGGTCTCCAACCAGGGCCTGTCTGGAGCCAAAGCCCAGGGCGCTCCATCCACCCTTCTGCTGCCTATGGGGCTGAGAGGAAAAGCCAGGCAGCACCTTATTCACAGTTACCCTGTGAGTAATGCCCAGTCGTGGCCCCTGGAAAGTTTATGAAAGAGACAGACCCAGGGACCCCCTGCCACAAATTCTGAACAGAGCCTGAGAATTCAGGAATTGATGGGAAATGCTGCATCTGGGGGCATACTTCACTGCCCTCTCCCATAAGAGCCTCAGAAAAGTGAAAAATCTGAATATTCATCAGTTATTACTATTCGTTATTCATTACTACATTCATCAATATTCATATTCATTAGGCTTGTTTTTCATTAGCCATTCCGAGCACAGGTGCAACCGTACACGTTACAAAGTCACCTAAATAAATAAAATGTCGCTGTCCCTTTACCCAGGCTGATGCTCTGGAGCCCACACTGGTGACACCTGGACTGCTGTCTCCTACTGGTTAAGTGGCCCCTTGGTCACATTCCTGAATATCCCGGTAACACTGGAGTCAATGACAGCACTTAACTCACAGTGAGGATTGACCCAGTTCCAGGGGAGCTCTCAGATCTTTGCTCACTCCCACAATCCAAGGGCTTGAGTTTTACTTAGCTAGTAATATTCACAAGATGATGCTTCATACTGCATTCTTCCTGTAGGGAATGGATTCTTGGATGCATGCTTGAACCCATCCAGAGAGGACAGCGGACGGACCTGAGACGCTGTAAGTGAAGCCAGTTGTTTGTTTGTTTTTTTTCTTTTTTTGAGAGGTTTTTGCTATAGGACGTGTGCACTCACCAGAAAGACAGAGAGAGAGACAGAGAGACAGAAAGCAAGAAATCACCCCCCAGGGGGGATGGCCACACTGAAATCCCTTCTCCTCCTTTCTCCTCTCAGGATCGTGGCGACACACATGCACATGCACACACACCCAGCCCAGGACTCGAACCGTGGTCGACTACATGGCAGTCCAGAGACATAGCCATTACATCAACTGCTGGTCCCATGAACCCAGTTCTTCCATTCGAAAGGACATTTCTCCTGCACTTGTTTACCTCCCACATGCCCCCTCTTTGGTATGAGTAAATGATTTGACCAAGACGATCAAGGAAAATGGCTTCACCAAAAGGCCAAGGAAAATACAACTTTGGGACGACCTATGGGTCCCAGGCACGTTTTCCACCTAATAGGCTGCCAGCCCTGGTTATGTCATGTTAATGTGTTGCCCTCAGCAACCAAGGCCAACGTGCTGCAGCCTCGGACTGGGCCTGCTCCTAAACCCTTTCTGCTGAAGACCTAACCCCTGGTCAGGAAGGCTGGGTCAGAGAGAGAGAGCGTCTACACCCCACTTCTGCATTCACCGACGTTACAGAACTAGGGTGGAAGAGAAACTGAAATGGGAAGAAGCCGTTTTCTAGAAAAGATCCTTCTTTCCCGCCAGTAACCTGCTCTAACCTTTGAGGCTCTTGGCCCAAGTTCCCACTACAGGGCTAGGAACGAGGAGGACTCTTTCGAGGCCAGTAACACTTGATTTCAAGCACTTGAATTAGGCAGAGGTCATTCCTCACTGCAGTAGGTCTGTCTGAGAGCAGGGGCTGGAAGGACCCAGCACCTGAGGTGGGAGCCCACCTTGCCCTGCACGATATCCACTGTCCAGTTTCCGGTAGGGAAACAGCATCGGCCAAGAAAGGAATCTGCTGCGGAGCCTCTGGGGACAGGCGCGGTGGCAGGCAGCCTCCTGACCGCTTCCCGCCTCCAGTAAGGGAAACTGCCTGAAAACACAAGCTCTCTTAGAGAACAGGTAGCCCGGCCAGAATATCTTCGGGCAGGGCTCTGAAGTGCAGCACGATAAATCAAACTCTGACACTAGGGATCACCCTGACCTGCCTCGGCGCCATGGCCCTCGCCCTCGAGCCATAGCACCAAGGGCCACCAGCGCCGCACCTCCTGCTGCCCGTGCTGCCTTTGACTGAGCCACCTAAGAGGCTCCGCTGAACAGGGATCAGACCTGTCTCCATCTACCAAGACCCTCCCATAGCACTCCCTTCACCTGGCCTACAAAATAACCCCAAAAGGCAAAAATCAGCAGATAGTGTTATGGTGACGTTGCTGGACTTGCATGTAGTCAACTGCGGTTCAAGTCCTGGACCCAGTGGCTTAAAACTCACACTGGGTGCCATTTGTGTGCTTGCCCAAAATCCCAAGAGTAGAATGGAGAAGAAGGGATGGCATGGCCATCCCCCCCCGGGGGGTGATTTCTGTTTCTCTGTCTTTCTATCTCCCTTTGTCTCTCTATCTCTGTGTCTCCAGTGAGTGCACATGCCCTATACCAAAAATCTCTTTTAAAATATATAAATAAATAACCCCCAAAGGACGTCAGTCCCTGTCACCTCTGATCCCCCCTCCCAGGCCAGTCGAGAAAGGAAGCTGAGGCCTGTGGGCTGCAGAGAGCACCAAGCAGCCTCTCCAGTGGCAGAGGGGCACAGAGCAGGCCCCCTCTCCCACTGCCCTGCCTCACCCCTCACTACACCCCAGGAGAACTGAGGGAGATGGCTGGAGGAAGCTTCAGCAGAGGGACAGAGGAATGGCAGCTCCCATAGGACATCTGTGTGACCAACAGCCATGGTCCGTGACAGCACAGGGCCAGCCCTGGGGACCAGGGCCCGTGCCCAAAACTGCACCTGCAAAGTCCTAGAGCAGAGGGAATGGGCCGTCTTTAGCATCCAGGTCTTCACCCTTCATTAGCCAAGGTCCCTTTGCTTACCTGGCAAAGAAACCAAGCCTCACCACCCCAGGCACCTCATGCATGGCCGGCTTTTTTAGCCCGTTCCAGCAGGTACCGGGAAAGGAAGAAGAGTAGAGGAGCTCCTTTCTGGGTGTGTGGAGGGAACAGGGCTTGGAATTAAACATTAAACCCTGAGCACCCTTCTGTGAGTTACAGCCCTGACCCCCATGACAACCCAGACCTTGGAAGGTCCTGGGCTCTTCAGAGTTGTTGTGGTCTCAGGAATATAGCAGTACTCTCATCCAAAACATCCGCCTTCACCCAGCTAGGGAATGTAACACACCTGCCGCTCTGACCAACAACAAAGGCTGCATTTTGGAATATCCAGGTGAACTCGTGAGAGGGGTTCTAGCTTACACGCTCTCCTGTGGCTTG